AATAACTGGCTTGAAAATGGCCAAGTAATTTAAAATATCCAGATTGATAGCACACTGTGACCCTTAGCTCGTAGTAAACCAATTCAACAAGGTTTTCCATACCAAAGAAGATAGGATGAGCAACTATCTTAAAGCTGCCCGAAGAGAATTAAGTAACTTCGACATGATGGAGCTAAATCAAATACCTCAAATCTAAAATGGCCACACTGACGCTTTGGCCAGGCTTGCGACTCGCTAAGGAGTGAGCGAATTGGAAAGTATCCCTTTAGGAAGTATTGGACATCATATTATTAAAGGAAACGTTGAAACACTAATGGCCATAAACTCTTTACCTTCTTGGATGGATGAGATTATACAATTTCGGAGAATCGGGGAAGGCTTGCTAACCCAATTGAAGCTAGAAAGTTGCAAATCAGATTAGCTCGATGTACTCTCCTAGATGGTGTCCTCTATAAAAAAAAGAAAGATATGCAATCCTATTGTTAAGGTACGAAATGAAAAAGATGCCTTATACACTCCATAAGAAATGCGCAAAAAAATCTGTGGAAATCACATAGGAGGACATTCTTTGGCCCACAGGTCTTAAGACAAGGATATTTCTGGCCATACCTGAAAAAGGACGCTTTGAACTATGTAAAGAGGTATGACAAATGCCAACGATTTGCATCTATCATCCGAGCTCCTCCAAAGGATCTCACTCCCATAATAAGTCCTTGGCTGTTCTAAAAATGAGAGATAGACCTAATTGGACCCATGCTTACCTAATGATATGAAACTAAGTATGTTATTATTGTTGTCAACTACTTTACCAAATGGGTCAAAGCCTAGCTTCTTGCAAAGAAACTGAGCATAAAATCATGAACTTCATTTGGAAATTGATTATTTGCAGATTTGGATTTTCTTACTCAGATAATGGGAAACAATTTGACAATGCATGTTTGAGGATCGTTTGCGAAGAGCTAAACATTCGCAAACATTTCTCTACTTCGAATCATCTCCAAGCTAATGGATAGGTCAAAGCAATCAATAAAATCATCTAGCATACTGTCAAAGCTCAGTTAAATGCTCTCAAAGGCGCATGGGCTGATGAACTCCCTAGCATGATGTTGTCCTATCGTACCACTTTTCATACCAGTATTGGAGAAACCCCTATTTCCTTTGCATTTGGAGTTGAAATTGTGATTTCTCCCGAGATGAAAGTCTTCTCATTTCATACTTCCAGCTTTGAAGAAGAGAATAAGAAAAAAACATTACGTACCGAGCTCGACCCGTTGGAAGAAAAAAGACATGAAGCTGAGCTTCGACCAACAGTTTACAAGCAAAGAAATACCAAGTACTACAACCAGAAAATACGTATAAGAAAATTCAAAATTGGTGATTGGGTGTTAAGAAAAGTCTTCATCACCACACGAAAACTCAATATGGGATCCCTGGGACCTAATTGGGAGAAACCATACAAAATTACCAAAATCCTATCCAAAGGATCTTATGAGATTAAAGATATGCAAGGATACTCTCTCATGCATGTGTGGAACGCAAAACACATCAAGAAGTACTGTTAGGAGATCACTACTTGTATTGCCTTATTTAAACGAGCTTGAATAAAGTAATCTTTGTGACAACCATTTCAATCCTACACAACTTTGAAATGAAATCCCATGGAAATTCTAGATGAGCTCTTCAGCTCGATATTAACTAAGTTTGCTCAGCTGCAACATTTAAACCAAGCTCGTTCCTCAGTAGCATAAGCTAATATTTTTGTGAAAATTCTAGATGTGCTCTTCATCATAGCTAAAACTTACCTCAGCTGCAATACTTAACCCAATTATTAAATGAAATTTCAAAGCCTGCTCCTCAGTAGCACGAGCTAAGGCTGTAAGTGCTACAATACTTGGACGAAATTTCATGGAAATTCTAGACGAGATTTTCAGCTTAGCTAAAGTTTGTCTCAATGCAACACCTACTATGTGATTTTCAGGTAAGGGTCGTCTTGTTTTGAAGCAATTTCATCATCCTCCTGAATCCCAAAGGTGCCAGTACCAGTCATGTTGGCCAAAATTGCCTCTTGATGAGATAAAGCTTCATGAGGAAAGGTAATTTCTAAGTCTGAGATTTTTTTCTCCGTGAAACTAATCTTTACCTCTTCAGCCACCTTAGAATTTGCTTGCTCTAGCAGCTTCTTAAGGCGATCGTCCCTTACCTTGACTTCTTCCATCTCTTTCTCTAGCTGGGATCTAGCAGCAAATTTGCTTTCCATACGTATGGTTAGAGTAGACCTCTCATCTTTCCACTTCAATTTATTGCAAACAAGCATTCTCATTCTCGAACAAATGATGCACAGTGGCAACTTCTTCTCTCACCTTTTCAATGGCTTCTGTCTCAGTCTTCACTCATAACAGGGCGTAATGGTAGAAGATCTTAGAGTATTATTTGATAATCAAGAAGACACGAAAGACAAAAATTCTCACCTTATTTGAAATTGTCATTAAATGAAATATTGACCTATGAGCATAGACACCTGCAACGATGCAGGACTCATTTGCACTCATCTAAGCCAAGTAATCCTGCTTACGGTCATTCTGATAAAGCTTGAGGACAGGTACCAATCATCCAAATTTGGCCTTAGAATGTCCGGATAAGAGGAGCTAGAACGGATCGGGAAAGCAACTACAAAATGGAGTGAGGGAGGTAAGACAGTAGCCAACGATATTAGAGAAAACACATCCCCATCTTTCGAACTGAGATGAAGTGAAGATTCACTAGGGAGAACAGACTCTTCTTGATTGTTCGCCTAAGAACGGACTCTGCTTTCGCCAAAACTCATTCCTAGAATTTAGGTCGAGAAATGAAAAACTGGTGAAAGGGGCTGGAAAAACGTTGAGAGAAAAAGAAGCAAAAGGATATGGAAATAGGAGGGAAATGAAATGACATAATGTATATTTAAATGGGAGAAATTTCAAAACAACCGAATTTGGGCCACTGATATAAAACGGTGGGAAGACGGACGGTTATTGATGGATTTATGGGAAAACTTTTCCCATAAGCCATCGTGGAAGAGAATGGAATGATTTGACAGCTACCTTCCTCTCCTGCTATTTATTAAAGGTTTGAAAATTTATTTGTCATAAATTTCGGACCTTGGGGGGATATTAGTTGACCTCTGTCAATTTAAAATCTCATTGAGGTAATTGAAACCAATTTAAGATTGAGTTTAAATCTCATAATAAGATCATCATGTCATGGCGGAATTCTCAAATAAGTTCATAAAAGCTCAGTATAAATTCCAGCGCAATTCAACTTATCTTCAGAAGGAAGGAACCGTCGCCTTCATTTGGGAAACATCATCATTGTACTTTGATTTTCCTCGCTCCAAGATTAACATCACACATATTTAACCCAAAACATCATGTGGCACACCTAATCTTGACCAATCACAATTTGATAATGATTAGCTCCACCTCAGCTCCAACTTACACATGGGAGATGACATTAACAAATAATCAAAATTAGGTCAGCGACACACACATTAAGGTCGACACTATATCATATTTGATATAACATAAACCCATATGTCTATTCCCTACTATAAATTGGATTATAACGGTCCCTAGCTCAAAAAAAAAAAAAAAGGAAAAAGAAAAAAAAAACCACATGAAACTCACTTCAAACTCTCACCATCTAATGCAAAAACACACTTTTCTTATAGTTTTAGCAAATGTTTTACTACTTCGGCACAATTTATAAATTTCAGCTCAAATTACCTCTTTCAAGTCATCAATTAAGTTGACAAAAGTGATTCAGTCATTTTTGACTTCAACAAATTATTATACTTATATCCTTTACTTTTTTCTTCATAATATTCTTATTTTTAACATTTCATTGATTAGAAAATATTGTCCTTAATCATGTTTTTTGTTTAAAGATATTGTTAACGTACTCTAAAATGAAGGTCAAATATATAATCGCATTTTTATATTACTATTTTTTTTACTTATCTAAAAATATAATTAAAATTTTTTTGGAGAGAAACTACAATTAAGAAAAATTTATGTTAATTTAAGAATAAGAATGCAATAAAAAAAAAAGTTTGGAACATGAATGAGGTAATTTGTAAAAGTTTTACATCTTTCGTACTAGTCACAAAAAATCGTGTGACGGAATATATTTAGTAGGGTTAACAATGGTTCGATTCGGGGTCAGTTCGATTAAAACCATCACCAAATCGTCAATTTTTGGTCATACCATAATCATACCATAACCACGTAAGTCGATTTGGCTCGATTTGTATCTTGGTTCGGTTTGATTCAGGTCGTTAATAACTATGAAAATAAATTATTTTTTTATAGGTCCAACCGTCAAATTCGAAAAAAAAAAATTATGAAAAAGTCGATGAAAACAAAAACATAATATTAAGCCATTTTAGCAAACAACATCCCAAATTAAAATGCAATCAATATCCCAATTTCCAAATATAAAATCCGAATTTAAAAAATAATATTATCAACATAATAATACTAAACAATATCTTTGTCCCTTATCCTTATGCTATAAACAATATTATCAACAGAATGGGCCATAAATTTTGGGTTAGACATATTATAATAGAAAGAATAATGGAAAGTTCAATTGTCCAATTATTTTTTTTTTTAACGGGTAATTGGTTCGGGACGGGACGACGGCGTAAATATCATATCCGCGCTGTCTCAAATCGGGTCATTAAAATTAAGGACTTCTTTGAGCCACATTATTTAAAAAAATATATATATCGCTCAACAGTGATTAGACATTATTTCAATCATATAATTTTTAATAAAGTAATATTACACGTAAATTTAAATTTTTTTTATTTTTTAATCATAAATTTCCTACTAATTTGACATGAATAATATATTTTTTGTTAGAACGTGATTCAAACATGGGTTAAATATCATATTCAGCCACCATTAATTCGATTTTTCTCCTTCCATTCTATTGGATTAACTACGATACTTTATTTGACGGTTTGAATTGCCATGTAGAATAATCCTGAAGCACAAAACTCTTAATCATTTCTTCTTCTCCTCGCTGAGATGTCATATGTCCCTGAGCTTCTTTTCCCAAACTTCCCTTCACACACAACTCCAAAGTGTTTCCCTCCCTCACTATATATATGTGTGTGTGTGTACTTTGAGAAACTGGGTGAATGACTCTTGTTGTAATTTTACCAACAGGTGAGGTGCACACATTGGTTGCAGGAAGAGATGCCTTGAAAGGTGAAAAATCTGATAGTAAAAATGGTAATGACAATTGGGCCAAGCTAATCTGTGGTGCTAGCTTTGAGGTACTCTTTCAAAAATCATTCTCAAATCCAATTGTAGGATAAATACATAATTTAATTAATCGGGTACGCTATGTTGAACGGGATTGGACATAAAATTTTAGCCTCGTTTCTTCCTTAGTACTGTCCAAATGCTCCGGCCAAACATGCCAATAGCTTATAATTTGTTTTATTTAGGATGTAATTGATATCAGGAACCTCTCTTTGGTTTACTCTTGTTGGAGGTAAAATAATTAAATAAAAGAACAGGAGAAGGCTTTTTGATTTTTTTGGTACAAAATTCCTTATTTTTCACTAGAGTCAATTCTAATTTTAATAAAAAAAAGTCCTAGGGCCTAGAGGTCACGATAAATGCAAATTGGGAGGGAAGGAAGAGAGCTAAGTTAGTGGCGGTGGGGAGATGGAGTAGCACGGAGAATGGAGGAGGGGGCAGAAGTAGGTAAGAGAAACAATGGGATGGATTGAGGAAGAAAAACTGGTCCAAGAAGGAGGGTAAGATTATATTTGAATTTTGACAAGGAAAAAGGTTTGTTTGCATAACTTTGAAAAGAAAGGTCTTATTTCGTTTTCACCACCAACTTGGTTCTTTCAAGACAAAATTACTAGCATCTTTATTGATACTCAATGTGCGTGCTTGTGTGTCCAATTTGTTTGTCCTTTGAATTTGTAATGGGAACCTTTATCTAGTGTAAATGGTCATACAAGGTTGTTTTCTGAAGGAGCTCTTTATTTCTTAATTTCATTTTCAGTTTTAAAGTTACTATAAATATCATCTTGAAGAATCTATATGTGTATGTGGATTTGAGAAGATGATTAAGTGTATTTCCATGATAGTTGATTGCATTGATTGTGCTGCTGAGACATGGGTTGTGAATGCCATAAATGAAGGAATTGAAGCAGCCAGCGGAATTGTGCCTATTTGCAGGCCTGGGTAATGATCAGTGTCAATGATGATGAAGATCTACATTTTCGTAAAGCCGGTAACTTTCCACTTTAGATAATAGGATTTTTTGAGAAGTTTTATATTATTTAAATATAAGAAGTTTCCATTAGACATAGGTGCAGTTATGATCTAATTATACTTTTCTCACCTATGACATGATTTCAATATCTTGCCATAAAATACATTTTCATGAATTATAAATCAGATAAAAATTGTTGTAATATGGGATTAACAAAATCAGAGATTGAGGTAAAGTTAGATCCTTAGTCATACTAAAAAAATTACACAAAATAATGCGGTTGGATTGCTCTGTACTTATCTCACGGCTCTTTTTTCCCAGTAAAAATAGAAATGAAATAAAACGAGCTGCGATTTTGTTAGCTCTTATGAACTTTTGTTCATACAAAGACACAAACAACTCTGTTAGATTTTCAATGAATAACAGCACCGGTTCAATTGTTGCTTACATAATAAAAAGGCACTAGGACCAAAAAAATATGGAGCAGTGAAATTTTTTGAGTATCCATGCTGTATTGTCATCTTAAGACTCGATTTGATTGTATAGTCAGAGGCCTTCGTGGCCCTAGAGCAACATTAAAACATCATTTAATTCATGAACTTTATTAGGATGATGACTAAATAAATGGTTGAAACAAAGTTCATGTACTGCAGTCTTAGGCTTATGAAGACTGTAACCTCGATTATGTTGAAGTGCATTTAGATAAGGATGCTGTATGACTTATTACCATTTCCAGAATTTGATCCGAATGATTGTCCATTGGATTGCTCAAGGCCATGTATGGATATTTCTCCTGCTAATGCAATCTTGAATTTAAGAGCAGCTATTGGAGCCAAGGTATGATTTGATTTACTTATTTATTATATAGCATAAGCTTCTATATTAAAACCTTGATTTTTCTCTGTTGCTTACATTTATCATATACATATTACAACTATCTTTCCATTCCTCGACTCTCCAATGACAAATATAGTACGCGGTGTCTTCATATGAAGGCATACCTTTGAAGTCACGATATATGGGACTTGGTGGAGAGAGGTTTTGAACTTCAAAATGAAGAAGACTTGTCTCAAGTCCAAAGAGACTTGCAACAAGCAACTAAGAGGAAGGATTAAAAAGCTCTTAGTGTGATCCATCAAGCACTGATGATGCAATTTTTCAAAAGATTTTGGATGCTACTAAAGCAAGACAAGCATGGGAGATTCTTGGAAACACCTACATAGGTGCGAGCAAAGTCTAAAAGGTACGTCTCTGATCTTTGAGAGGAGAATATGGACATGAAGAAATCGGAGTCAATTTCATATTACATTTCATGAGTTTTGGTGATTGTCAATGAAATGAAAAGATATGGAAATGGAAATGGAAATGGAAATGGAAAGAATGATCTTTAAGTGGTCGAAAAAATTCTTCGATCTTTACATGAAAAATTCAATTTTACTATTGTGGAAATCGAAGAGTCGGAAGAATTTGGAAGAAATGATTATTGATGAAGTCGTGGGCACCATACAAGCTCACAAGGAGAGATTGTTGAAGAAGAAATAGCAACGAGTAAAATAAGTCTTTCTTTTAAAGAAAATGAGGAGAAGCACAGTAGGAGCCAATGAGGAAGAGGACGTGAATGAGGTCAAGGAAGAGGAGGTATAAATTCTCAAAATTCAGCCAACAATGAAGGGATTTATCAACACTCATATAGTTCGAGAGGATGAGGAAGATAAAATTCTCGATGAGGAGGAGAAAGAAGAAATAATGGTGGAAGACATGATAAATCTCAAGTTAATGTTATAATTGTCTCAAACTCGGGCATTTTGAATGGAAGTGTAGGAATAATAATGTTGAAGAGCAGTCCAATTATGTTGAAAATAAAGACGAAGGAGATGGAATATTACTCTTAGCATATAAGGTGCAAGAAGGAGGTAACAATCTTGGTATTTAGACACCGGTGCAAGTAACCACATGTGGAGACAAATTTATTTTCGTGGAGCTTGAAGACTTAAATGGCCATGTCGCTTTTGGAGATGTTTCGAAGGTTGAAATCAAGGAAAAATGTAAAATTCTTATTCAAATGAAAAATGGGGAACACTAACATATTTTTAATGTCTATTATGTCCCTTCTATGAAAATAAAGATTTTGAGTTTGGGCCAACTTTTGGAGAAGGGACATTACATTGAATGAGAAATCAACAAAAAACAATTCGAGAACAAAATTGGAACTTGATAGCTAGTGTTCCAATGATAAAGAATCGTATGTTCTTGTTGAACATTCAAAGCAGAGGAGTTAAGTGATTGAAGGCATGTGTCAAAGATTCAACGGGCTATGATATTTGAGACTTGGGTATCTAAATTTTGACAGTTTGAATCTCTTGATGAAGAAGAACATGGTGAAGGGACTGCCATATATTTATCATCCAAATCAACTTTGTGAAATATATCTCTATGAGAAGCAATCCCAAAATGGTTTCTCAAAAGAAGCAAGTTATTGAACAACAAAGCCTCTTGAATTGGTGCATACGGATCTTTGTGGCATAATCAAATCATCATCATTTGATAAAAATGATTATTTCATGCTATTTATTATGATTTTTCTCACAAAACTTAGGTTTATTTTCTTAGAGAAAAGTCTGATCCATTTGAGACTTTTAAGAAATTCAAGGTGATGGTGGAAAATTAAAGTAACTACAAGATTAAAGCTTTATGCTCGGATTTTGTGAAGAACATGGCATTGACTGATCCTGTCACCTTAATAAAATAATATAGCGGAGAGAAAAAAATAGGACCGTCATGGAAATGGCTAGAGGCATGTTGGAGACCAAGTAATTGCAAAAGAATTTTGGGTTGAAGCTGTGCAATGTTCAGCCAGGCCCCTTTTTTTGTTCCAACGAATTATAGATAAATAATGATTTATTTGATTTGAAAACAAAAATCCTTTTTATTTATTATATTCAAGCAACAACAAAAAGAAGAAAGACTATTTACATTCTTTTTATTTTTCTAATTAAAAAATTTTTTCGTTTATTAAAAATGAATAATAGTAAAAGTTCTTCTTTTTTTTCAAAAAAGACATATCGAAGTGATAAAAATGTAAGAAACAGGGTAGGACAAATCTTCCCATTACCATTTCTTTTTGTTATGACTTTCTTTTTTTTTTTTTCAATTCATTTCATACCTTTCACCAAGTATTTAGTTTGAGATTTCATACCTTGGGACTTTATGTTCATAATGATGTCATGCTTGCCTTTGGTACTCCAGAAAAGCAAATTTTGATCGAACCTATATTTGCTCAATGGATACAATCGTGTATTTGCTTAATCGATGTCCAACCAAAAGTGTACAAAATATGACTCCACAGGAGGCTTAGAGTGGATTCAAGTCAAGTATGTTGCACATGCAGGCTTTTTGAAGCATTGCTTATTCTCTAGTTCCAAAAGAAAATAGGAGCAAATTGGATGACGGGAGTGAGAAATATGTCTTTACTGACTATGATTCAAGATCGAAAGGCTACAAACTCTAAAATCCAAAGAATGAGAGGGAGAATACTAGTAGAGATATCGAATTTGGTGAAGAAGGAATCTGGGATTGGAAAATTCAACAAAGTGAAAATTATATATATATATATATATATATATTTTTTTTTTCCCTTTTGATTATACTGAAGAACAAGCTGTTGTGATTCTACCTTAACCAACATCACCAATGACTCTACCACCAAGTTTTGGTCAGGATACACCTCCATCTTCATCATTCTCAAGTGAAGGGCCACAACGATACGAGTCTTAGGAAGATTTATGATAATATTGAGGAGTTATCAACATCTCAAAGAATTAACTCGATTTTATCTCTTTGCCAATCATGCAATTTTAGATTTTGATGATGCCATTCAAGACAAGAAATTGAATAAAGCCATGGATGAAGAATCAAAGCCATCAAAAAGAATGATATTTGGGAATTAGCCTCACTTCCTAATGGTCAAAAGCATGTTGGAGTTAGTAGATATTCAAAGAAAAGAAGAATACAAGCGGGAGTTGAGTGAAGCAAGGCAAGATTAGTAGTTAAAGGTTATAGTAAAAAACATGGTGTTGATTATGATGAAGTATTCGCATATGTGGCTCGTTTTTAAACAATCTTGATTATTGCCCTGGCAATACACAATCGATGGAAGATTCGCCAAGTAAAATCATCCTTTAATAATTTCTACAAAAGGATGTATACATACTACAACCTCCCGATTATGTTATGAAAGGGGACGAAGACAAAGTGTTGAAGTTGAAGAGAGCTTGTATAGTTTAAAACAAGCACCAAGGCATGAAATTCAAGACAAATGTCCATATGAATATGCAGTCTATAGGAATGTGAACTCTAATGGTGATATCTTAATTGTTTGCTTGTATGTGATGATTTAATTTTTATAGGCAACAATTTAAAAATTATTTGATGAATTCAAGTGAACTGAGGCGAAAGAATTTGAAATGACTCATATTGGGCTAATGGTGTACTACCTTAGCATTGAAGTAAAGCAACAAGAAGATGTAAATTTCATTTCTCAAGAAGCATATGCTAAAAATTCTTGAAAAATTCAAAATGGACGATTGCAAGCCAGTTAGCGCCTCCAGTGATTGTAGAATAAAATTGTCGAGATTTGAGAATGGTGAGAAAGTTGATTTGACTCTTTACAAAAGATTAGTTGGAAGTTTAAGGTACTTGATATGTATAAGATTCAATATTTTGTTTGGGGCAGGTCTTGTTAGTCGGTACATGAAGAATTCAACCATGACACATTTGAAAGCTGTAAAGAGAATTCTACGATACGTCAAAGGTGCCATTCGCTATGGTTTGTAATATTCAAATTCCAATGATTTCAAACTTGTTCTATATAGCGATGGTGATTGGGCTAGAGATATGGATGATTAAAAAAGCACAAGTGGTCATGTATTTTTTATGGGAGATACAACTTTTACACGGTCTTTGAAGAAGCGACCTATTGTTACACTCTCAAGTTGTCAAATGGAGTATTTTGCAGTTGCATTTTGCGTTTATCAAGCGATTTGGCTTCGAAATTTGTTAAAGGAAGTTCAACAAGATGATCTAATGGAGATTTTTGTTGATAATAAGTCAGCATTACGTTGGCTAAAATCCCCTTTTTCATGATTGAAGCAAGCATATTGACATGAGATATCATTTGTTCGAGATTATATTTACAAATAATATGTGAAAGTAAAGTTTGTGATGTTTCAAGACCAAATTATCGACATTATCACCACGCCATCGAAGATCGATGCATTTATGAAATTTCGAAGTTTGCTTGGAGCTACCATAAATCAAGTTTAAGGGAGGTGTTAGAAATATAAACTTGATTTATAAATTAAGTTAATTCATGTAATTTAGATTGATTCATGTACTAGGCTTTTCGATATTCATGCATTGTTGAGATACATATATTCTAGTTAATTATACATGTACAATGGATTCATGTAGCAGTTGATTCATGTACTTTAATATATTCATGAATCATTTTAGGGGGGAGAATGTAATAATAGTGAATACATGTACTAGATTAGATACATGCTTTGCATATCAAGACTTTTGATTCTAGCATTTCCGGAACAAGCCTATTCAAGAAATAAAAGTTGAATGTTCTCTTGAATAGCAGTTGATTCATGTACTTTAATATATTCATGAATCATTTTAGGAGGAAGAATGTAATAATAGTGAATACATGTACTAGATTAGATACATGCTTTGCCTATCAAGACTTTTGATTCTAGCATTTCCGGAACAAGCCTATTCAAGAAATAAAAGTTGAATGTTCTCTTGAATTTATCCTCTCCTCTTTAAAAAAAAAAGGTTGTCCATATCCAAGTTTCCAAAAATCCTCCGCTCCCATGTGTCGAATCCGCCCCCAGTTTCCAGCTGTCAGAAGGTATTCAAATCCTATTCCTAATGGGCACCAAAATATCTTGTTACTTTCGCACAAAACAAATCGTAAGGTGAGAATGGAAAAAAAATCCCAACCACTGCAAAAAACAACAAGGACTGTAGGTGAAGTCTTTAAATGCGTCCATGTGCATGAACACTACGTGGAAGTGGTTTCAGTTGCATTCGGCAGGTATTGAATTCCACCTGTGATTGGAATAGTAGTCATATGGCGATACAGTCGATGCTGCTTAGCTTTGGAAAATCTGTATTTAATTCGCAGATGCGCATACCAAATGGTCGCTCCTTTTCTCCTTGTTTCTCCACCTCCTTTTCCTATCCAACCCATACACCCAAGCCCTTTCGTTTCATTTCGCTTTGATCATTTTCCATACATAAGGAAAGTGAATCACACCAAAGGATTGTGCTTAAGCCGCTTTAGTTTTGAGTACAAACCTTTGATGTTATTCACTTGCCTTCTGTATGGAAAATGATCGGGAGCCAAATAAAACGAAGGGGCTTGCGTATATGGGATTGATAAGAAAAGATGGAGGAGAAACGAAGAAAAAAGGGGCGATCCTTGAGAATACGCACTTTGGATATTACACAATGTGGAAAGGTTAGAAGCATCAATTCTCAGCCAAATAACAACGATTCCAGTTACAGGTGGCGTAGGGGAGAGGTTTACAAGTGAATAATATAAATAGTCATTTAACATTTTACTCTCTGTTAATTAGGGGAATATTCAATTGGAGTGAAATCTCCTTGTGCAACCTTATTATTGTCTTTACCATTGGATTCTAATTTCACTTTGTGTTCTTAGGCAGGATGCATCGTTCAGAGATCTTTGGAATGGTTTGGGTGATTCAATTGATAATCTGAGGCTTGTGGCAGCAAATGTAGTATCCGTTTCCCTGTTTATAGACGATTTTAGTTATTTATAGCGTTGTCAAAAATAAAAATGAGGATTCAGAATCTTAGTTGAGTTTTTTGGACCGGAAGATGCATATACTCTTAATCAAATGCCGGTCAGCTTTCCTGATCTTAGAGATTCAACCATATCTGTCATGAATGCTATGCATTCTGCAATGAAGGCAAATCTGCGTTGCGTCAAATCTTTGGCAAGTGGGAGCCGTGTAAACTTGATGAGATTGGAAAATAACGGACAATCCGTGATTTCTGACAAGCTGAATATCTGCTGCTAAATGCAGTTGGATGGAGCCATGAGCGGAGACATTGGACGAGGTGCCACAGTGGAAGCCATTGCTTTTGCTTCGTATATAGCGGCAGGGGGAATTAAGCCTAAAGGTTTATGGACGAAGTTTTTTTCTCCTTGGGTGTTTTTTAGCTAGCTGAGTGCCTACTGATTTCATATTTGATTTACAATACTGAAATGGATTGGACGGTATAATAGATAAGATCTTATCTTCGTTCTTTTAGAGTATTGAGTACTTTAGTTTTCACTCTACCAAACCATCGGTGCCTCCATTGAATAACTTGGACATGGATTTTATCTTTCTATGTATGAATCAAACGTTGGAACCGGTGAATGATAAGGCGGATGGTTCGATAAATTTAAGTCGTCTATAGGAATTTGTTCGAGTGATCATTTGATTCACCAATATTTTATGAAATATATATTTGGTACTTTATCAGATGTAACAAAATTTTATGTTGGTAGTTAGACTTAAATAGATAGAAAATGTCTTTCCATAAATTTTGAAGAAATTTTGCTAGTAAGAGTGATTCTTTCTCGAATAGGAAAATTTAGAAAATAACTTGTTGCGATTTGCAAACGATATGATCGTATTTGAGTTCTTAGTAGAAACAACGGTGAAAACGAGGAAGGAAAATTGATTCATCAACTTAAGTAAATTTATTCAAAATACACAAATTTTAAAAACACCAAAAATGAAAACTTAACATGTTTTTCATTTACTAGTATCTAATTCTAATACGAATCTAATAAATGAGAGTGATTTGCGAGGAAAAAAAATTCAAACAATGTGTATATATATTTACACAATTTTAAATGATTTAATGAGCACGTATATTTATCTTATATTAAGCAAACTTAACATGTATATTGATTTATCAATGGATAAACATATGATTAATTCATTTTTACAGAAGAAGGTTTCACAAAAGATTGTCAAAATACTCTTATGATATGGAGTCTACTGTGAAAAAAAAGCTGCCAAAAAATACCTCACCCAAGCCATGTGTGTGTTCTGGCAAGGCTTCTTCAGAGAAGTCTGTTGTACATCAAACAAAATCCATAATTATATGAATGAATTTTAATATTTTAATTTAGTTTGTTATTTATCAATGGATTGAAATGACGGTCATCATTGCTTAATGTTAGATGGACATATATTCTCATTAAATCATTTCATCGCACACATATTCATCAATTTGATATAATCTTTTAAACCGATAAATTTGCTACCCATATTTTTGTAAATGTTTAAAATGCGGTACGAACTAATTGACTAGCTAACCGTTTTCTTTGGTATTTAGTGAATGATGTCACATTCAACTAATTTCATAAATATCCTTCCACAACGAAATAATTACAAAAAAGGACTGATTGGAAGCACTATATTATTGGTCTGAATGAAATTAAAGAACCTGCAAATTTTGTTTGGTTCAATTTTTATTTTTTTCATTTTTCCCTGCTTAAATGAATAGAAGAAATGGAATAGCCTAGGAATTGTTGTTTTGTATACCATTTGATTTATATATTTCGAGTTTTCGATTTTTCAAAATTTCAAAAACTAGTGATGTAGCAATAAGTAGGAGTGCACAAACGAGCCAAAACCATTAGATTCGAACCCAACCGATTGCTTTAGCATGACTTTGAGTCTTTGAGTATATTTTCAAAACATTCTAGATCTTGAATCCTAGAATTAGTTGATTTCGATTCTGGTCCTAGACTCAGGACCAAGAACCGGATTTGGGCAGTTAAGTGATTAACTCCTTTTCAATTCTTTTTCACAAAATTTGACTACACCCCCCCCCCCCCCCCCC